AGCCAAGCTTTCCAAGTTGGCCAACTCATACCACACTAGACACTACTGTGCTAGATTAATCTATCTGCCTGGACCCAAATATCCATTTTTGGAGAATAATGAGCCTCCCTACTCCTCCCATTTTTGGTAGGAAGTTTTTATGAACATTTGGCATCTCGGTTAAACCATCATCATAGCCCAGAATAAAAATTACTGGATTCATATGTGGAATCCAAATTTAATTAAGCCTATATATGGCCTGAACCAAGAATAATTTACTGGCTGACACCCCCTCAGCATGTATGATAAGATGCCAACCACTTCTCCATGACGCCATCTTTTAGATCTTTCATGCCCAATTCCCATTATTTTTTCAGGCCTGCAGCTGAAACATGGGATGGAGTGGACTGACAGTGTTACCTCTTTCCAGTACAAACAGCAAGAAACACGGTAATTATGGGTATCTCTCCTTCAGAAGTTGTCCCCCTCTCTTTCCTGGTCTCCCATTTGGAATTATCAGCCCTCTCCCCAGGTTATGTGTGCATATATACAAGTGCATGCTTGTAGAGAGTTGTGACACTGAAATTTATGTTCTGATTGTGTTTGCCAAAAGTCTTCTTCACCTGGGAGTTTATAAAATCCATGCACAGATTTTGTTTGTCTCTAAAACTGTAGGGTTTTTCTCCTATCCCTCCCCCTTTCTACCTGGAGTGTGGATCAAAAGTTGAATGAATGGGAAGAAGTAGGAAACTTCTTAAGATGTTCTTCTCCTAAACCTCCCCTTGCAAGCAGAGCTGTAACTTCCCTTCAGATGCATCCTTTCAACACACCAGAAAACTACAGATCAAAACAAAGGGCAAGACATTTTAAAAAAATAAATAAATAAAACCCCAACTTCAGAACTCCCTTGGGTTTGGCCTACTTGTTAATATTTCCCTGTCAGGTGTCCAGTTTAATGATTTGCCAAATCACTGCACTAGTGACACAGCCAAATATTGCTAAATCGTGATCATTTTCCACATCATGAATCTGAGAAAGTAGACAGGAACAGATCACTTTGGATATCTCAACAGATATATTTTTCAAGACACCAAAACAGCTCAGTTTTGCCCTGGATTTAGCACTGGGAAGAGCTGCCTGTTCCTAAGCACTTCAGTTTAAAGGATTCCAGTGAAAAGGGTCAATGCACAGATAATTAGCCAGAATAATCCACTGTCAAAGAACAACAGCAGGTTTCATTTCTGTTATTGATTCAGGCTTCATTCTACAGAGCCTGCACTGCTTACTTTTTTGGGGTGGAGTTCTTTGCTTTCAATGCTATTAATGATTTGCAGCTTTTAGAGGAGTGTAAGTGACAAACTGCTCACCCCCATCATTTGGGGGAATAGAGACCTCGTGCTGGAGCTAGGTCAATCACCTACTAGGACCAGAGGCTTTGCTCATCCGGATCAGGGTCCTCGCTTTCAAAATGTAGGAAGGGCAATTATCTTTCAACAGTGATTACCAGTAATAACATTTGATATATAATTAATTAATTTTAAAATTTTTAGGTTTTTTTAAATCAATTTGTTTAAGGGGCAATCTTTAAAGAGTTTTAAAGCAAGAAGAATGAGTGGAGAGTACAGAAGATTGTGTGAGAAGCTGGCATGAAAACTAGGGATGAGCACAGGAAGGTGACAAATACAAGTATGTACAAGGACAGCATGAGTGAATTTAGTGCAGGACTGACCTTCTTTGGGGATGGCATGACTATGGAGGAGTTCCTAGCTATAAATATATCAAAATAAGCTATGCACACACAATGCTTGGCTAATTCATCCCATGCTACAGCCTTTGTTCATGCTAGTAATTTAGATTTCTCTGTCACTTTTATCTCTGGCTGCTATAAATCTTTCACACCAACACAAATGCCCCATCATTTCTACAATTGTTATTCCATCCTCTGGACTATTTCAATTGTTTTTAAAACAGATTCCATATACTGTATTGGTGATGCAGCCCTCATTCACTGAAGTGCCTCTTTGAATAAACAATTCATCACTGATCCCTCTTAGAGCTTAGCTAATAAACTGAGGGCTTCTCCTGGCACAGTAGGATCCCCAGAAATCACAAGGGGGGACAAATGTCCCAGTGTCATGTCTTCTGGCTTGGTGGTGGGTGGAAGACATGCATAGTTAGAGCATAAAGGCACCTGAGAGGTGATTGGTAGCTACAGATGCTCATCTGTTGGAGAAACCTCTGAGAGTTTGCTTTGAATTTTCAAGGGGGAGTGTTGCATCAAAATACAAGTTAGAATAACCATAAATCTGTACTTGTCAGTGTAGTGGTAGAGTCTTGGTCAGTGGCTAAAGAGTAGGTCCTCCCCTCCCCATGCAGCAATAGAGTGATCAATGTTATCACTGCTTACTTTCCCTCCCCACCCTGAGACCTGGATAACTCACCTTCAGTGTTCATCTCCCCAAGGGGTTCTGGGACAAAGCTTTCCTTTGGGGTGAAGTGAAAAACATGCCTGTCTTTTTTTCAGTCTTAGTTATTCCTTCAGTGCGTTCAGGCATAACCGAATGGCTGGTTTAGTGTTTCTGTGTCAGACATAGGTGTGTTTTGTTACACGTGTGAATATTTATGCTTGGAAGTATCCTGTACTTGTAAGTAGTTGGGGTTTTAAATCTTTGTCATTTTTTTTACCTTTTTTCCCCTTGCTAGTGTAATAACAATACTTCCTAAACCCCATCCTTTTCCTAGGTACTGACCCCACCATCTCTGGGTGCTACTCCAGTAATAAAAAAAAATAAGGACTTGTGGGTTATGGGATCCTTTATAGACCTGCATGGAACTCATCTGGCTCGGCTGGAAGAGGTCATGTAAACCTTCCACAACTGTTAGAGTCTGTGTGGTTTCACACCCAACAAATGTCAAAGCAGAACTCAACTGCAACAGCTAAGTTTCGTCTGTGTTTGGGTTAACCCATAAAAGAACCCACCAAATTCCAAATCAGTCATTTCAGCCTTGCAAGAAACCACCCAGGTTCAGTGAAGAGGTCAAGAATCTGGTAGACACTTTGGCAAATATGGCCTGAACAGTGGCTCAAGAAAACCCTGTTTCTTTCCAACTTTGTATAGTCCGACCAGCCTGATAGCTGGCCCATCCCAATGACAAATAATTTATATTCCTTGTAGTTCTTACTTTGCAAAGAAACATTTGAGAATGAAAGCACAGCTGCATTTAGGCATTTGAACTGCACTCACTTGCAAAGTTTTGGAGGATGAAAGGAGCCTCTTTGGTGAAGAGGATTGTTACCCACAAGCACAGTGGTGAAGACGGTGAGGCAGCTCAAGATTCTCAGCTTGAAGAGGAGAGCAGAAGTGGTGAAAGCCTTTTCACTGGAAAGCTTTGTGATGACACTAACTCTGGTACAACCCTCCAGAGTGGCCCTTCTCAGGCCATAAGGGATCTCACAGAAGGTAAAGACAACTCACTCATCTAAGGGCAGAGCATGCCTGCAAGCTTTGGCAGATGAAAACAGAGCATGAAGTACAGAATTCTTGGCAGATGTATATTTTCTGGCAGCAACATAATTCTGGTTATCAACTGAAAGCAAACAAACATAATACCAGCCAAGGAGGACCACACCATGCTTCTAACAGTCAAGACAAGTAACTAGATTTTTTTTCTGGTTCATTTAAATGTAAAGGTAGAAGTCAAAAGCCAGGTTAATTCCTGAATATGATGCCTTGAGAATTTAATTCAAAGCTCACAGAATATGACACAAGCTCTGCAAATGTCTGCCCAATGCCAATGGATTTATTCCCTTACAACACTTTGCAGCTGAACCACAGTGTCCTTAAAGTGCCCAGACCTCAGCCGGACTCTCAGTTTTGGATGTTCTTTCAAAAAATATTTGGTTCCCTTGTTGACCCAAATATACCTCAGTTTTTGGTGTTCATTTCACAAGGGTGTCAGAAAAAAACCCTGAAGCCTTGACCACCACTAACAACCAAAGCACCACGTGAGTCAACATCTCTTTGCACAAATGAAATTAAATGTTCTGCCTTTTTTAATACAGTTTTAATGAGATCTTATGTCTGATCACACTCAGTTGTGTTGGAAGCATAAGACTCACCCACACCACTGAATCCAAGAGCTACCACCCGAAGATAAATAGGATACAAAGAAGAACAGGCTACACCCCCACTGACAAGCTGCATGGTATCACTTTGAGTGCCCTTGAGAAAGCTACACAGTACAACCTGTTATCCCAACCCAGAGAAGCAGATAGGAGAGTGGGCAGCCCTTGGGGGAGAGAGAAAAGGTCAAGAATAAGCTAAGGATACCCAGCTGGGTGATGAGGAAAATAGTAACCTCAGTGCTGGAAAAAAATTTACATAATCTCCCCTGTGAAATAATATCAGACATAGGGTAAATGAAAATGTATTGATTTAACTTCTGCCAGCTAACAGCTTGTCAGGCCAAGGCCATATATTATTTTCTTTGAATAGGTTTCCTGCCTCAAATCATTTGCAGTATTTTCTTTGCAGCATGATAGCAACACTAAAATGTATCATTGCCACATATTGGAAGGCCAGTGTTGTATGCACAGTACTTCCATCAATTATTTGGGACTCTCCCATTACTTAAGGTTCTGGGAAGTCTGCAGAGGGATTTTTCTGGACTTCTTTCAGTTCACTTTTGATCGACCATGATATTCACCACAGTTATCATGACAACCTTTAACAAGGCAACAGTTGGAAATACTTTTTTCATGGGCTGTGACCTTGGATGGCTGTGCAGGCACTGAGGCCATTGCTGGGTCTGAAGTTGCACAGACACGAGTGACTTCATCTACAGATCACTGGAGATTTCATGTCTCTTGCCAGTTACTTTTCAGTGAGCGGAAACACACAGTTGTTCCGGAATCATCGCTGTTGAACTCTGTTATAAACCTTTGCAGGACCTTAGCAAGAAAGGCAAAAGAAAACCACCCCAAACAGATCCCTACAGCACCGTAGTAGAGACACCCTTACCTACTCGAAGCTCTTGTCCAAAGACTGTTTTCTCTCCCAGCGCCGAGCAGTTCCACCTCCCGTACCGAAACTGGTACTGGCACTCATTGATTCCCATCTGTGCCCCTTCCCCGATCACAATGATGGCATCAGGGCGGCTCTGGCAGATCGCTCGCTGCCGAGGGGCCAGGCCTGGGATTTTGTTGCAGATTATATTAGCTCCTAAAGCCACCACGGATGACAAAGCTCTGAAGAAAAAAGCAGAAAGACACGTTATAACCAAACTGAGGTGAACAGGTGCTGCTCTGTGGCTGGCAAGGCGCTGTGCAAAAGGGGAAGGGTTGGAGGTTGAGTTCCTGTAATTATGCCAATTTGGCACAATGCTTCTGGTCTGGTATAGCAGCCTGGAAATTTTGCAGTAATTCCTGATCTGATTTGTGCCAGAAGAAACAAAGAAACTTAATTTTGGCACTTTTGTTTCCAGTCCTACACGGAGACATCAGCTTGTGAGATGTGGAAAGAAAGACTTATTCAAAATCAAAAAATAGTGAAAAGCCATCATCCACAACTCTCTGAAACTCATGTCTACTTTGAATGCAGGTTCAGACTTAGTTTCAGTTACTGCAGCCAGTTCATCCACCCCTCATTTGAAACTGTTAAGCACAATTTAGAAAATGACTTGACACTACCAACACTCTTGCCCATTATTATGCTCAGGGTATTGAATGATTAATGAAGTTCACCAGCATAACTGTGCTTTTAGATCTGGCAAACATCATGGAGCACATAGGAGTGATCCTTAATATGTGCCATCCAGACTAGAAACATTTGCAGTTCTCATTCTTCAAGTATATTTTCAGAATTCATCATGAAGTTTTGCATATAACTTGCACCTGCCATACGTTTTCACTTGAGCACGTTTATTTTTCATTTTTCAGCTCACTTTTCAACATCTTCACAGGCTCATTTTTCAGCATCCTTACAGCCTACATTTTACATGATAATATTTTGAAAAGTATAGGACAACATGGGTACACTTTTGGTGATGCCTCTGGTCACATCTACTGAGTACCTGCCAGGCATGTGTAGAGATGCTCCAGGTGGCTCTGGACAAGCAGACTGCCTGCCCTGTGATCCCACTTCCCACCTTGAACACCAGCCTAAGGCTTTCATCTCAGTGTTAAAAATTCCCCACTGGAAATGCTCCCTTGGGGAAATGCTGACTAAACAAAATTAAAGAATTATAGAAGAATTTGCCAACTTCATCACAAGGTAACTGCAAAATTACATAAGTGCCACATTTCAATGAAATCAGAGTGATTAATTTTGCCATTTCAATAAAATGCAGTAAAGCCAGAGCAAGGAGGGCGAAATTGAGACCTCTTCCCCGGACAAAATTAAATACTGCTATTCCTGTGGAATGGGGATGCCATGATGATCCACTCTGCCTTTAATGGGTATTTTGGCATATTTTCTGAAGTTAACAATCCATGGGAAATTCACCACTTGTGGGTTTTTATTTATGGTGGTGGAGGGGGGTTATGGATATAGAAATAAGGTATCACACAGAGCATGCATGCCCTGTTGTTCTGCCTATTAAACAGAAGTGAGAACAAAAGGTAGCTTCACTCTGACCCTCTCAGTGTTGGAGCAGGAGTGCTCAGACCTGCAGCTTTATTTTGTGTTCCTCTGGGTGCTGAGCAACAAAGCTGGAGCATCAACTGGAATCAGAGTCCCTGAGATTCATGCAGGTTTTGAGCTAAGGGGTTTTTTCCTGGCAAAAAGTATTTCTCCACTTTAAAATTTAAAAAAAAATTTAAAAATTAAATAGTTATGTCTTTGAATTAAGACTTTCCAGGAGATGTGATAATCTTTAAAAAGTATTATGTTTGATATAGAGAGAAGAGTCTCTTTACAGTGGCTTATGACCTTTATGCTATGGCTTCAAAAGCTAATGAAAATCATGGAGGAAAATATCAATACTTCTTTTTAAAATCAGACACTTTTCAATATTGAAAAGTAAAAGTGCTATTTTCTTTGAAAGGTCATGGAGCTTTTCTCTCTCTGACTTGATCCATTTTCCACACAAAGGAGGATGGACATTCTGAAAATATTGCAGCAAAACACAAAGGAAAGCATTTTTCCTTAATAGATGATGTGTCAAATTCAGAAACGTACACTCCTTGAAAATACTAAAATGCTTACCCCATCCCTTCCACCTGGCTTTGCCCAGTTCCCTGGGACAGACCAGGTGCCCAAGCATCCTGCAAGACCTTCCCACCTGGTAACCCATTTCCACTGCTGCTTCAGACACTGACCTTTCCAGGAAAATCTAGCCCTGAGGATATCTGGGGTTGACTCCTAAGAAAGAGACATGCACAAGGCATTCAAAATTCTATTTGATATTTGGCACATGCACAAGACACACAGTTCTGGTCTTGTAGCTGCCTGATGGTCATCAAGTTACTATGCCACCAACTTAGTAGCAGAAATTACATCTAAAAGTTGTTTGTATGTTATATAAATACTTTCCTAAAAATTAAAAAACCAATAAAAACTGTGCAATAACTTCCTGACGTAATTTTTTTAAAACTGGTGGGTTTCCACAGTTTCCACTAACTATTCTCAAGTTAAGTAGCAAAACCTTACGACTTTCAAAACAAAGGAAAGCAAGAATTGGCCACAGCATCTAAACGTATAATTTTCAGTTAAGTTGCTTCCTTCATACACGTCACTGCTGTCTCATAATTAGGTTAAAGAGTATATTCTTTGGTCTCCCATCGTTTTTTGGAGCAGGCCTTGGTCAAAGTATTTTAATACAGTGGGTCACTTTATTCATCCAGAAAATAAGCATGATCGTATCTGCTTCAGAAGGTATTGGGAGAGTGTCATAATTATTGTGTGCTTGAAGTGTATTATAACAATTAAACTGCAATTATTGGGGGTGGAAGGGGTCTTAGTTTTTCTATTATTACTTCCAGAAACTTTCCCCTCTCTGGCCTGGACTTACCAGCATATTCCCTCAGACTTGTTTAGCCTACTTTTAAATTGTTACAGTGCCAAAAGAAATGCTGAATCATGAAACTGAGGTTTTGGAAAACTTTATTTTTATTAAAGAAATGCACCCAACAGCATTTCAAGCTTCCTCTCCTCTATTTCTTGTGGCATCCTTAGTTTGTGCATCCATCACACATTCGGGAGGGTTGTGCTGTGCTCCTGCCCCTTGGCAGGTTGAAGGCTACATTATTTTTTTCAAAGATGGAGATTGTTTCACTCTATAGCTGTCAAAAAGCAGATCCTCCTTGCCACATTTGGCATCTTCTTTCATCTAATCTTTCTTTGTGGTGCAAATTGCCTTGATTCTTATCACCAGAAACTCCTGAATGTGGCATATTGTTAAGATTTCTGATGCAGTTTACAGTAATTGCAACCATCCTGCAATTGTCAGGTCCCACTCATGGGACAGTCTCCACATGGCTCAGTGTTCTGCTGGGTCATCCACATGGGCTGTCCAATTAGACATCATCCACATGGCTTATCCATATAAACAGAGTTAGTGGAATAACGACATATTTCCTAAGGAATTGGCATTAGTGTCTGGCATATGGAGAGCTTTCACATTTCTTCATGCTTATGCCATTAATCCAAGGGAAACACCAGCACTGAAATTGAGCAATATCTATAAACAGTTATGCCCAAATTTAAAAAACAACAAGAAAAAAACCCAAAAAATACAACTGAAAAAACCACAGGAAAAACCCAAACAACCCAACAGCAACAAACAAACAAACCAAAACACACTCAAACAAACAAAAAAAAACCCTCAGATCTGGGCTTGGATAGGACCTTGCAGTTCAAACTTCCATCAAATTAAACCTGATGAACAAGATTTTGGGAGGCTTGGTTTCTGCTTAAGAATTCTGAAACGTCAGGTTTTTTATCCTTTGAGAAAATAACTAGGACTGTGTCACAGCAAGCAGAAATTCATGCCAGTGGGAGACAAGTTTCAGCTTATTTTCTGAAATAATGCTTGCTTACTTATGCAAAGACAGATGAATCCTGTCACAAAAAGAGAAACTTCTCCCTCCAAATGTATTTCCTGTTACAGTTGTATCTCCTCTGTAGGACCTAAGCAACTCCAGCTTCCCTTTTCACAAAGTGAAATTAAAATTATTAGATATTCTAAGAAAGACATAAAAGTAAAGGTCTTTGAAATGCTTCAGAAATTAAACACTAAGGCCGCTTGAGTTTTAAGAACTGCTTGTTGGAAGAGAAATATACTCTTCATTCCTGGTTGTTTGAGTCTCCATTTTATATTTGCAAAAGCAAGCATTCACTTAACTTGAGCTCGAGTAACTTCATTGATTTCAAATGTTATCATGTCCTTGCAACTTCTGCTTAATTTTACATATAAGAAGGTCATCATGTGAACTGCAGTTTACAGAGTCTTTGCATGAGTGGAAAATATATAGAGTAAATTCTAGTGATGGACAGCTATACAAGCACACAAGAAGAAAAAAAATCTAAATTTTACTACTGTTAAAAGAATCTGAATTTTGATAAAATTATGAAACAAAACTGTCTGCTTATAGATGAAGAACAGTAAATAACCAATCTTTGGAGTTGTCCCCAAGCTCCTGGCACAGATGTGCACTGAGATTTCTCCAAGGAACTTCATATACCATTCTGACAGATACATGACAAAAGATGTAAAATAAGAGATTAAACTAACAACTTATTGCTTACAGATGAAACACTTCAGTTGATTTTAACCTTTTGGCTAAAAAAACCCTAAAAATTGCTTTAAAAATTCTCTGACAATCTGTGCTCCCTGAGCAAATGACATTTTATTGGGGCCCAGGACTGGCTTCAAGAACTTCTTCTCCCCCCCTCACTTGCATTTCCTGGCTGTACAACAGCACAGTGTGCACTTCCCACCGAGCCAGCCTTACTGCAAAGCCCTTGGATAGGCAACCATAGGATCACTGTGATCCCACCCCAGCTCTGCTTCTTGATATTCACCTGAAACTGCTGTTGGGCAGGGGGTTTGTTTTCAACAGGAATGAAGGGACTTAGCCACATGAACCCCATTAACAGCAGGGGAGTTGTGCAGTTTTTGGCACACTGTACCAAAAACTTGCCCCACCATCTCTGACAAAAAATCTACATAGTGGGTTCTTTGTTAGCAGGAACCACCGAGGTATTTTGTGGTGACACTGCGACACATCTGAAACCGTACACCACTACC